TCTATGTTTATGATATTTACATAGTTTGTTTGTATCAAAACTTCATTCCAGTCAACCTATCATTCTTTGTTTATACTTCAATTCAAGCCCATACCTTTAATCCACGTGCGAGGTGAAGGAGTATTGCTTAATCTTCGAGCACCCCTGATTATTAATTATTTCTTCTGGAATAATTAAGTTCAAATAAAAATAACTACCAGGAACAGGAAGCATACACTGATCTTACCCACCGCCTCCCTCACTATAGCCTGAAGGCGAAAGATTTTCGAAACATTGTCCTCTATACTTGTGTTTCTACAACAGACAGTTGCCGTCCATTCAACAAAGTTTCATCATGATTGCTCTGTCTAAACAATCTATCAAAGAAAATCGTATTATTAAAAAGATTTACTAGAACCGCACACATCCGCCGATTTCTCCTTTTCGGGCACGTTATATAGAGAACACAGTAACTGAATTCAATACAAACTAAAGCTGAGATATACAAATAAGTCTGCACGAGATTATGTTTCCAATACGATGTCTATTGCGCACTGTGATTGGATGTAAAACGTCTGCTGAACTCCGCCCTTAGCAACGATATCGGCGTGACGTCATAATCATGTGATTTTGCCTGGTAACGCGATCGCCATTTTGAGAAAGGGACGAGTACAAAGCAAATGGATATGAAGAATAAAAATATAATGTTGTTGAAAGATCATTATTATTATACACTTTTCTAATTCTTGAAAGTCCCTAAGAAGCTAGATAAAGAAATGTTGTGTTTAAAAATATAATAGGCCTTATACTAATGTTTTATAACGGGTGTAATTAGTTATAATAATTCTCCATCAGCTTGTAAAAGGCGTTCACACCATAACTGTATAAAAACGCAAAGGCAGAAGAAAGCGGAGATTTTACTATATTGAAAAATATTTTTAAAAACTGTGTACCTTAATATTTCAACACTAGATTGGCTGTTTTTATTTATGACATAATAACTTAATATCTCAACACCAGGTGGGCTGTTCTTGTGTATGACATAATAACTTAATATCTGAACATCAGGCGGGCTGTTCTTGTTTATGACATAATAACTTAATATCTCAACACCAGGCTGGCTGTTTTTGTGTATGACATAATAACTTAATTTATCAACATCCGATTGGCTGTTCTTATGTATGACATAATAACTTAATATCTCAACACCAGATTGGCTGTTTTTGTGTATGACATAATAACTTAATATCTCAACACCAGGTGGGCTGTTCTTGTGTATGACATAATAACTTAATATATCAACACCCGATTGGCTGTTTTTATGTATGACATAATAACTTAAAACATGTTTAAAATTAGTGAATAAGACCCAATTTATTTTGCAGGATATTTGAAAAAAAAAACTAACGAAATTTTAAATTGTTGATAACTTTTTTAATTTCCCAACAGAAGCATAGAAAAAGCCAGATGCTGTTGACATAACATGTTGTGTTTTCTAGTTGTAATGCTACATAATGAACTATTAGTACTTTGTCAACAGCTCAAGAGTTTAGCGTTGTAAGACAGAATGCATACCGCTGACCCAGTGAGAAGAGGGTGGGGGCACCTGTTTCTTGATGTGTGATTAACTACATGCAATGTCAACTGTTACATAGGATTTAAAAACACTTTCTATCAATTATGATTTGTTCGTTTTGTTTTATTAAAGAATACAAATATCATCTTACTAGCGAATAGTGGGATTGACCGTCACATTATAACGCCCCCACGGCTGAAAGGGCGAGCATGTTTGGTGTGACGGAAATTCGAACCCGCAGATTGCGAAATGGGGTGCCCTAACCACCCGGCCATGCCGGGCCTGGTTATTACTGATATATAATAAATCATCACGCTGTTTTTGTTTTATAGGTCTGTACGAAGAGAGTCACGGAATCGTCAGTAATTCTATGTATGATCCGCTGTTCAATGAAACATTCAACATTAGAAATACTGAAAGTAAATGGTGGGATGATGGAGAACCAATATGGACGACTGCAAAATTACAAGGAGTGAAAGTCGGGACGTATTTCTGGCCTGGATCTGACGTTCAACTGAAAAGCATACTACCTGACTTTTCTTTAGTTTACAATAAATCGATTTCTTTCAAAACGCGAGTGGACACAGCGATTGACTGGTTATCCAAGGAAAACGCTGAACTTGTGCTATTATATTTCCAAGAGCCGGATTCTGCAGGACATAAGTACGGAGCTTTTAGTTCCGGTGTGGAAAAAGCGGTTAGAGTTGTAGATGATACTCTTGGATATATTTTGGAAAAACTAAACAAGACTAACTTGTTAGAAAAAGTAAATCTCATTCTTGTAAGTGACCACGGAATGACAAACATAACTCTTGATCCCAGCCATATAATTGTCTTGAACGAATACATAAACCTAGAGGCTGACGTGCAAATAATACCAGATTTTGGAGCTGTGGCTGCAATTATGCCTATAAAAGGAAGAGAGGCCAGCGTGTATGACAGCTTGAAGAATGCCCATCCAAACATGACGGTGTACAGAAAACAAGATATACCAGACCGGTTTCATTATAAGAACCACAGACGAATCATGCCGATAATAGCTATAGCTGACGAAGGATATTTTATTGTAACGGTAAGTTGAAAATTTTATTTTAAGTTGCTTTATACATATAAGAAAGACACTCTCAACAGGTTTTAAATATAGATAAATAATTGCAAGACATATGTGTTGAACTCCACCAGATGTCAGTGTAGGCAATATAAGCTAAATATATTGTCATATTATTCCAGAAGTATGATTACGCGCATGAAAGGAATGATATAACCATACTGAAAAGATGCGAACCATTGTGCAATATGGTAAATCAATTGTATTTTACTAAAAGTAACAGAAAAAAGGATATTAAAAATGGGGCTTCTAGAAACTGTTTAATGGATTAAGAGATTTAAAAAATAGGAATGATAAAAATTAGCTTAACTAATATAAATGAAGAAAAGAAATATAGTTAGGCCTCATATAACGGTGATTTGTATCTGACAATAATGGGGTTTTAAGTCCTTTTCGATCACCATTGCCAAGAATTGGTGATTAAAAATGACCTAAAAACCCCATTCAAGATATTTTTATTTCAGCAATCGTTTCGCCATTACGACTTCTTTAGGTCTAATAGTACAAAAACTGTTTGAGCCCTGATGAAGCCACAATAGCGAAACGTTGGCTGAAAAAAAAAATTATTATTAGGAGACTAAATTTTTTTCTTCGAATATTAACTTTATTATTTACAGTTAAGGAAGTAATAAACTGCCTTTCTTTATATCTTTTTTTTTATCCCTCTGAATGTATTTCAGAGAACGCCTACACCGGATGATTTCGCTAAAAGTGCAATAGGACAACATGGATATGACAATCGCTTACGATCTATGAGACCTCTTTTTCTAGCAAGAGGACCAAGTTTCAAGAAAAACTTCACTATTACATCAATTTTCGAAACCGTCAATATTTATCCTATGATATGCCATCTACTGGACATCCGCCCTGCACCGAACAACGGAAGTTTGGAGAACGTACAGAATGCCTTTTATAACAGTGCGCCAGCCTCACTTTCGACTTTATCATTTACAATAGTTTTGTGTTACGTTGTGTTTTGCTTTTAATTTTTTACGACTTTTTATTCTCACAGTTTGTTTCTTGTTGTATTTTGTTTTTATTTTTCAAGATTTTTTAATTTCATATCATTAAATCCAATTTTCCGTTTATCGTAATTTATCTCAATCTTTAGTTTAATATATTATTAATTTTCATAATTCAGTAGAGAAGAAATTATTTGTCGATTATTTACTAATGTATTTGAGTGCAATTCATTACTTTTCATTATTTCCTACCGAAGAAACTATCCGTTAAATTTTATTTCAATTATTTGGGTATGAGAAAAATTTATTAATTTGTATGATTTCCTAGAGAGGGGTTCGATTCCCCTCGGTGGACATAGCAGATAGTCCGATGTGGCATTGCTATAAGAAAACATACAGACACACACACCTTAGAGAGGGAACTATTCGTTAAGAGATTTTATTGCAATTGATTTAAGTCTCGAGTATAATCATTTTTATTGATTTCAATTTTAATGAGAGCGTGAAAGTACTAAGAAGATGATTCCTTCTACGATAGCGTATCACTAAATACGTTAGTGTTCAGCGTTTTGTCAAATAACTGAAAACTAAAACAAAACAAAACTGACTAAAAACGAAGTAATTGGCCTTTCATAAAACTTGGCCTTTGTTATTCCCAAACGTCAGTTCATCAAAATTAATTACACACTTCCTTGGTAGTAAGTAGTCCAACCGTAATAT